TTCGTGGAGGAAAGAAAGCACCGAGGCGACTGCTGTCAAACATAGCAGTTGATGCACGCCGTTTCGTTGACTCACATGCTGTTCGCAACAGACCTTGCTGTTCGCCATGCGAACAAAGCAGAGAGAGGCCGTGTCACGAGGCACAGTAAACACCCCGCCCTGTCTAAATTAGCGAACAGTATCATCATTCTCCTATGTCAGCAGCGAAGTCTACATACTGTGCCATGGACCAAGGAACCAAGTTCGGTACAAACCTAATGTTCACCTTTCCCCGCTGCATAATCCACCAGCACAGCCAAGTCCCAAGTACGCACATGACCAGTATCCGCGGACATGACCACCGAATTCCATGCCATGTCTATCTTCCAACAACACCTGGATACTACCCTCCCCGTCTCTCTTCCATCACAATCACGTCCTTCACTCCTTCCGAGGTCCTCCTCTCAACAAACCCCCCTCTAAACACTCACCCAAACACACAGACAAGTTTCAACCCAGAATAGCAACCCCCGAAACAAGCGGGTATGTCATAAAACCTCCCGGGAAGTTCGAAGCGGAAAGAGGGGGCGCGGGAAGAAGCAAATGGATGCTAGGTGGATATGAATAGCCGAGTCATGGTGGGCAGAACGGGAAGAAGCAAATATGCCCCAAGTGGGTTGTCGGGGGCCAAGCGTAAAACACCGAAAGAAGCATGGAAAGGTGCCCAGGTGTGAGGAAAAAGAAAGCAAGTATGGTAGTCATGGTAATCATGGTGAACATACGATAACTTTGGTACGCGGTGTCGTACAGGTAACGAACGACAGTCGATGATCTTCGTAGCATATGAGGAAATCAGGTTGACATTGTACTGTGTTGTTACATTTCCACATAAACGTGCGTACTAGATGAAGCATCCGCTGAAGTTGTTACATGTGAAGCAAGAAAAGAAGAACAAGTAGTAAACAGTTGCATTCAATGAGCCAGAATCGAAGAATCGAAGAAGAGAAACGCCTATTGCACAGATCGGCCTCTCCTCAGCCTTTCCTTTCGCAAAGAAACCTTGAAAATGGGAACGTAGGGAGAGAAAACGCTGCATCAATACACACACTTCAGTCAAGACCGTAGAAAGAATTAATGTTTCACATGCTTAATCCCCAATCCGCGCCCCACTGATTCCCGCCACCCAAGTTTCCCTGCTACGCCGTTGCTTACTCCGTAAACGTGTATATTGGTTCTGTCCCTTAGGTATCCAGCCGTTTCTTTCTGTCTCGCTCGCTCTCTTTCTAAAAAAGTAGTAGATTCATCAATGCTGGGAAGAAGCGTTGTTATTGTGATGGTGGTGGTGGTGGTGGTAGAAGGGCAAATGATTACGCCTCGATTCCTATATCTCGACGGTCTTGAGGTCTTCCGCCTCGGTGGCAGTGACGGGGCTCTTCAGCGACGAGCGCGCGGGAGCGGCCGCGGCAGGGGCAGCTGGTTTCGTGTCCTTGTTCTCCTTGTCATCTTTGACATCCTTGTTCTCCTTGTCGCTGCTGAGGCTATCACGCGGTGTGGGCAGACGAGCGGCGGGGAACTCGTCGCTTGGTCGCGGGGTGTCCATGGAGATGAGGTTCTCCTGGGGAGTCGCAGTCTTGGAGTCGAGGTTGGTGTGTACGCGGATGGGCGCTGGGTTCTCTTCTGCGACCCGGGCTAGCGGGCTGGAGAGCTTGCCTCGTGGGCTGACGCCCTTGGGCGGTTTGGATAGGCGGTGGGGGCTTCGGCCGCGGTCTTCGGGGCCCATTACAGGGCTGTGGTAGGGGCTGCTCGCAGTGCTACTGGGGACGACCATACCCGGCGCATTGGGGTTGACGCGCAGACCGCTGTTCGGGCGTCTCTTGGGTGGCCGGCGGCCGTGCTTCTGGTCACACCGCCAGCGGAGGACTTCTAGGTAAGGCGGCTCTACGTTCTGGCGCTTGAAAGCTAGCAGCTTCAGCTCGCCCGTCTCCTCGTCCATGGATACGTCTTTCGAGGCAAAGTCGTCTGCGACCATGGCCAATAGAGCGCCCCATGAGCGCGCGACAACGTATTTGGTGTCGTAGTCGCGGCCGAAAATGATGATCTGGCCCCATTGGCCGTTGGGACCGGGAGCGAGATCAACGGCAAGGTAGTTGCCTCCCCAGTCGCGAGCGAGAGGGATCCATGCGGGGTGGGCGTATGCCTTTTGTACGGCGCCCTGGGGCTGTGAGTCCTGGCGCGCGAGGAGGTCCTGTCGCCAGAGCGGGTTGCCTGTGCTCTGGACTGTGGCAACGGGGGGAGCGGTCGAGGAGCCAGCAAAGGCCTTTACTGGGATCTGCGGTGTGCGGTAGTCGACCTTTGTGGTGAGGTACTCCTCGGCGACCTTCCGCCAGTTCTTCCACTCCATGACAATCTCCTCGCAGTCGAGCAGCATGAGACCGAAGAGGACACCAGTCGGCAGTCCGCCACGCTCCTGGCCATCGTGGACCTGCAGCGACTCGCGGATGTCCATGGGCAGGGTCGCGTCAAGCTCGTGCTCCAGCTCGTTGACGTCGTTGGATGTGCAGCCCTCGCACATGTTGTCGAAGAGCTCTTGGTAGTGGTCCTCGACCCAGCGGTCGATGCGCCGCCACGAGTGGCTGACAGGCGGCGGCGGGGGCAGGCCCTCGTTGAAGTCCTGCATGGGGATCTGGCCGTTGGCGCCCTGGGGGAACGAGTCCGAGTCCATGGTGGCCTGGCGGCTGAGGGAGCCGCGCATGCCGGGCGAGTAGGGGGAGCTGGGGGACATGGGGCCCTTGGGGGAGCCGATGAAGCCATTGCTCGTCGCGAGCTCGTCGTGCTGGTAGGGCGAGTGCAGGTCGGTGCGGGACTCGGCGCCGCTGGCCGTGATGGAGGTGAGGGCGGCGTGGCGGCTCTGGGGGATGGGGATGTGCCGGCCGGTGCGGTAGGGCGAGTCGTGCGAGGCGTGGCGGTCGTACGACGTCATCGTGTGCCAGAAGTCCTTCAAGGACGCGGTGATTCTGCGCTGCTGTTAGCCAGGTGCTGTCAGGTGCTGCGCGGGGGAGCGGCGCCAGTAAGTCCGGGGGCTCGTACTGTTGTGCCATGGCGGTGGTGGTGAGCGAGGGAGCGCGGAACAGCGAAAAGAGCGTGAGGGTGCGCTCTGCGCTGGCGGGCTGTAAGTGTTCCGGGGCTCAGCGAGTGTCGGGCGGCTTGGAGCGCTGGGGGAGTCTTGTAGCTGCGTCGGCGTGGCAGGAGCTTGAATTGGAATCGAGAAAACGGATTGCAGGTGACGTTAAGGGGTGCCGACACGCCAAGACAAAGCTCGACCGGGATGGCCCTGGACTGATTGACGAGCGTTGAATGCGCACTGCTGGCCCACTGCAGGACTGCTTCAGGACAGGAGCACGCCAAACCGTAGGGTGAATGATTACAAGTCTACAACAGTAGTGTCGTGGTGCGGTCGTGAGGACGCTGGTTGTGTTGTTGTTATGGTTCGTCGCCTGCATAACAAAGCCCTGCAACCACTCAACGCCGCCGCTCCCTCCTCTCCTCACCCTCTCCACCCTCCCCTCTCCGTAGCCAACTTGAATTACCCCCGGCTTTGCGGTCATTAAGTTATTAATAGCGCTTAACACCCCTAGGTATCGCCGTTGCCACCCAGTATCACCACCACCAGACATCACTTCCTTTTACACAACCAACAGCTTGCCGTGGCCAATTCACTCCCTCCCCTAACCCCCATGCGGCCCATTTTCGCCGCCTCACGTCGGCGCCGTTCGTCCAACCGTGGGCCTGTTTCAGACTTGGGCGGCGTCGTGCGCGCCAACTAGAGGCTTTGCCGGGTGGCTTCGCTTGCTTAGCTTGTTATCGCTCCCTTCCCCGTTAGGAGGTGCAGCTTGCATCTCTGGCGTCGTCCAGGCGGTGTAAAACGAAACAGAGCCACTTTTATGCTCTCGCCGTGTCTTGGGAAAAACAATCCCAATGTCCGACACTTCTGCCGCACCTATGCTCAAACGCGCCAGCTCGGTCAAACGCTTCGGCCATGTACAACAAGCAATTTCTGGCAAGTTCCAAAGCTGTAGATAAGGCTGACCGGCGTGGCTTGATGCGCGCCTTGCTATTGCGTCTTCACTCACCAGCTACCGCATCCTTCGACGCAGATAATGCGCTCCCCCCGCTAAGATCTCCAATTTCCGCCATAATCTCCCAAAGGGTCCAGCTAATGTCGGTCCATGATGCGGTTAGCAGAGTTCATGACGTAGACCGATAGTCGGCAAGCACGTATTGCACATGTAAGATTGACGGCCATGCACTGTGTCGAGCGAACGCGAGTGATCAAGTGTAGCCTTGGATTGCGTTTCAGATTAACATGCCGGCGAATTCCGCTACACTGTGACATGTAGCCCTAATTGCGTCGCAGCCTTAGCATCCGTCATGTACTACCAGAGCCCGTCCTTGAACTTTGTACCCCGCCAAGTGCCTCCTCCTCCACTAGTAAAGCTTCGTACGACACCCCTTCGAATCACATTCTTGCCGCGCAACCGGGAACATGCGTTTGTGCGAAATTCGCCGTGAGCAGCAGCGGGGTGCGGGGGTCCTGTGAGGCTGTTTGCTCATACTCCTATTTTTAGGCCCCGCCCTCTCTCGCCACATCGCATGGTAACCGATGTGGCTACTGTGGATACATTGTTCTTCCTCCATCGCAACCTCTGACCTCGCCGCTCGATCTGCGACGTTCAGTTTGGCTTCGGGGATTTGCCGCACTAGTTGGCCTGATCTACCCCAGAGTCGTATTGCCCGCCGCGTGGGTCGGATACGAGCTGATGCGCGTTGGGTAAGCGGCCTTCGTCCCGACCCGGCATGTAGTTGGGAGGCGCGGCTCCGTCTGCTTCTGACGCTTTCTCCTGACGCCGGGCTTAATTCTTGGGATGCTTTATGTTGATATTTGGGTGAGTCAGTATCATAGATGAATTCCTTGAGGTTGATGCTGTGTGGAACCGCTCTGCTCGTATAGCTAGAGCGCTGCGCTAACCTAATGTCTTGCCCAAAAACTGATTGAGCTCCTCCTGCAGCGGTAGCACAATATTCTCAACTGCAGCTTGGAGGCAGTCGGCATTTTGTAAGCTAGCCATGGGACTGCTGCAGTATCCGATTGCACTTTGAAACGCAGCAGACATCTCTTCAGCCTCATTGCGTGACCAAGTATGCACTAAGGTAAGCATTTTCCACTGTTCTGGCACTTGTGCGTTTGCAACTTCGTCTTCAATCTCAGATTTCCGGTATTTCTCGGCTGTTGTGCCGAAGTAGAGCTCAAGTAGTGCTACGGCCAGCGCGAGGAGTATGTTGTTCTCGAAAGTCACTGGCTTCGGTTTCTTCTCTCCGTCTTTTGGAATATCGAAAAGGCTTGGAGCGAGATATGGGCGGGTGATGTCGATTGGACGAGTAGGATCTGACGTCCGATGGAAGAAGATGTCCCGCGCAGTCCATTTGCTAGCGAGCCATGGAGTTGAGTTCAGGTAGAGTATGCTGGACGCCAAGGTCAAAGCTAGGCTGTACCTCTCTTTCTTACTCAGCTTGGATTTCTTTCCGTTGATCATTGGCGGACGTTCTAATAAGGTCTCGAGCGATATCAACTCTGTACTGGGCATGTATGCGTCTGCGCTGTCAACTGAGTAGGCGCCTCGTAGTTTGCTCTTGCTGTTCAATGAGAAGCCGATAGTCGAAGACGTCTTGTGTAGTTGCTGGATCGATGCACACAAGTCGCTGACTTCTTCATAAGAAGGTAAGGAACTTGTTCCGGGATCTAAGACTGCGTATGGAGGAAGCGATCCGAAGCTGACGCTCTTTGTTACCCTGGGTTTAGGAGAAGGCATCGGTGTGAGACAGCCTTCCTCTTCTTCGTCGTCTACATGGAATTCAGCAGCCTGAAACAACCAGGGCGCTCCATGGCTATCCGACGAGATGGTCGAGAAAGAAACGTTGAAACATGTCTTCGATGACGAACTGTACGTTTTGTGATGCCGTGAAGCGAATATGCTCTCCCGCGGCTCAAGCTGCAGGCTGGCCGTATGGGAAGACTTGCAGGCACACGACCAGCACAGGTTGAGCGACTCGTGTAGGATCTTGGCGTATCGTTGGAGCTTCTGCAAACGCGTGGCATAGGACGGCTTGGTAGCTTTGTGAAACGTCTCGATCTTTTCGCTCTTTTCCGTAAATCTCTCCAGCTGTCGATTGCACTCGTCAAGTTCATCGAGAAGCCCTTTGACGCTCTTTTTGTTCATCGCGAATTTCACGCGCTTGCCGAATTCGAACGTGTCGTCAGCCTTCTTGGGATGTGCGGCGAGGATTGCCTCGAGATCGTTTCGTGTAAGCTCAGCCGCTTTGTCCAGATCCAATTTGCTTGCGATCTTGGTCATTATCCTTGCTATCTCCGTCATCGTGTTCTGATAGGACTTGTAGGTGTTTTGGAGCTTCTCCTGGAGCGCTGTCTCCTTGCTCTTCCATAGCTCTAGTGAAGCCCTAGGATCAGTTGACATCTTCAGCCATTCGGCATCTGTCGTGATGGATCCGAAGAGAATCTGGATCGTTTGATTGAATTGGTCATGCTGAGCTCCCAGTTTTCTAATGAGTTTGGGAAGTTCCTTGTCCCATTTCAGGAAGCCCTTGATAGGGTCGAGTCCTTCTTTATAGGAGGTTATCGCTAATACGCAGTTAGCCCGTTGTCAAGCAGGCACCCATCACCCGCTTCCAAGGCGCAAGGCAGTCTACCTTGTATGATCAACGGCAGAGCGCCAAGTACGAGGCCAGCGACCTCGATGCCGCTCATCGTCGCGATTGCCCGTTCTTCGAATCAATGTCGATGTCGCGTGTCATTGGTGGGCGACGGAAGGAACGAGGGCCGAGCGGGGTTCAGGGCTGTCAGGCAATCACGCGAAGAACACGACTCCCAGTTAAAGCATGATGACTGCGTTGCGAGCGATAAGGCAGAGGAGACATAAGTGTCTCATTTCGCGAGCAACAAGAGTTTACGACAGCAGAAGGTAACACTGCCCGCGAGGCGCCTGAACTGCGCCCCCACTATCCTGAAAGATCCTAGCATCGCAGCCTTCAGGCTGCACGCTGACAACACGAGTGCTGACTAACCGCCTACCATCTACCATCCCATTGCAGTCGAGGGTTGTAGTAACAAGAGCATCTGCCTGCCGTCCTTTCGTCGGCATCAACGACTCAGTTGGTTCGGGCTACCAGTAGCTCAGCGCATCAACAACTACTCCAGCGTTGGGGTTGTGCGATCGCCGCCGCACTTCAAGGCTCCCCTCGCTTGCGCCTGCTCCGACATGCCGAGCGCCCATAATGTCGACTCTTAGGCTTGCGACAGCTTCCAATGTACGCGCTTTCCAGATACTGACCGAAGCTCTCGACGCAAGCAACGGGAAGTGGTCACAATGGATTGAGAGCGAAACACTCGACGATGAGGTCGGAAGATTCAGAGTGTGGGCTGGCAATCTGGGAGCGTTGCAGAAAGGCCACAGCTCGCTCGACTACAGGCTGCGCGGATCCCCCGTCTTATTCAGTAGCGCCCTCAGACTACTGAATGAGCTTGAGCAGAATCTGAATGAAACACATGCTATCGTTTCCGAGGCGCGCCTGCCTTATGAACAGCAAACGCCATCGAAGGGTTCTGATGATGATAGCGACCGTGGCTCGTCCAGCGAGGAAGAGGGAGACGACTCTGACAGCGACGAGCCTAGAAGCGAGTTGCGGATGAGATATGAAGAAATCGTGGATATCATCGACAACCTCTACAAGCTCAGCGTCCGCATCCGGACACCGACAGTACGCTCAAGATCGCTCAAAGCCTCTGCCTACACGCCAGTGGATCCAGAAACTGGTGTGGATATCCTCGGTGTGTATGCTGAACTGGATCGAAAGCATGTTCGAGAGCTACTCTCGCAGCTACGGAAGACGCATCCTGCACAGAATGAGGAAGATCAGGACTTCTTGACTGAGCGGTTGAGCTCTTCAATCACATTGCGCAGGCGGCATTTCAAGTATTGGAAGCGTCGTAAGTTCGACAACTAACATTGCTGCATCTTGCACACTCTGACTATGGTAGATCGTGATAAGTTGGGCGCTTCCGCAGATTCCGAAGACATAGCAGATGCCGGCAAACCTACAGCGAACGAAGCGCCAACTCCGATGCGTCATGACACTCTTGAAGCTCACCCAGTACGTACCCTTCCATCAGCTGTCTCCTAACGCACTATTTCGAACATGATCTAACTTCGGTCTTAGCCGATGCCAACGATCAATACCCCAAAGCCGACGCCGAGTCAAAAAACTGGGAAAACCTTGCTATCTGGTACAGAGGCGACGCACCATCACCAGTCTCTAGACGATATCGTAGACACCAAATCCGTGACGAGCTACGCAGTCACCGTGAAAGACTTGGACGGAAAAGGCATCGATCTACCGCCCCCTCCAAAGGCTGCTACTTGCGACAAGGACTTCGAGTGCCCATACTGTTGGATCGTCTGCCCTGCACGATATGGCAAAGGCCGAGCATGGAAGACACATCTGCTACAAGACCTACAGCCGTACATTTGTACACACCGAGACTGCGAGAGTTCCGAACTGCTCTTCCGTAGTCGTCGAGAGTGGGCGGAACACGAAGCGACTCATCGCAAGCTTTGGCGGTGCCCTGAACATGTGAACGCCTTATACAATACCCAAGCTGGTCTTGAGAACCACCTTCGACAGGAACATATCGGCAGCTTCCCCGATGACCAGATAGCTATCATGGCTAAGATCGGAGAGACCATAGCCGTGGACTCGCGAGATAAGTGTCCGATATGTTTCGTTCCCACGGCTACTGAAGGCTTGGGCGATTTGCAGAGCCACATTGCTAATCATTTGGAGCGCCTTGCTACTTTTGCCTTGCCGCATGGCAGGGAAGACGACGAGGATGGTGCTAGTAGTGTTGCAAGCCGTGGGAGCTCCAATTCTCAGTCTTTGCCCGAGTCGATAAGTACCAATCCAAGCAACAAAGTGGTCGCTCTCAACAGAAAACCGGATTCCGGACAGTCTTCTGAATCTGAATTCAGTGTGGAAGACCGGTTACTACTACAGCTCATGGGAACAGAGTCTTCGCAGGGGCAGGATATCACAGCGCGCTTTCCAGAAGTCTTTGGCGAAAGTTACCACGACCGAATTCCCGCACTCCAGATGCGTGCCGAGCAGTTAAGAGAGCGGATTGTAGAATTGTATCTTGAGTCTGGGATTAGTGAGGAAGACCGCCTATTAGTACAGCTTGAGTACAAAGAGCACATGCCAGCACATGATATCGCAGATCGCTTTCGGGAAGCCTTTGGCAGGGAGTGCCACGGGCTCGAACTCCAGTTTCAACTAGATCGACTATATGGGGCACTGAGAAAGTATTCACTCGGACTAGCCGGCACTGACCGAGGTCTACTTTCGGCAGAGATGCTACAGCAACTTCCAGACGAAAGTCAAAATCGATTGGCAATGTTCCCAAATCAAGTGAACGACCTGGACGACTCGGAAGACGAGCAATCCGACAATGAACAGCTTGATGAAAACATATTGCCCGAGCACCAGAAACATCTGGAAGAACGGGAGGCGTTTAGACAACACGTCTCATCGTTACCAGGAGTTCTATCGGTACGATTTTATCGCGGCTACGGCTCATGGACTGGCCTTATCACGTTCGCCGATGATCTGGTGGGCGAACAAGCAACTGCGCTGTATGACTATCAACGATTCCCCAACCTTGTGTTCAAGAGTAAAAAGAACAAAAGCAAGTGGACATTCACCAGAACCGCTGGCACAAGCAGTAAGTCAATGTCTATATGAGGTTCACGAAAGCTTGCAATATAAACGGCATACTGACAAACTTTCGCTGTAGAGAAGGACGGCTCCTTCGTCCGCCAGCCAACAGTGGATACACAGACCACGGAAGAAGCCGAGATTCTTCCATCCGGGTCTGACACGTATGACGAAGAAGTTGAAGAATCAAGCAAACAGCCAATCATTACGACTGCCGAAATCCCTACGTTACGCTCGCTTTATCAGTCCAGGCGGCTGTTGCAGCGCGATCAGAGCTTTGCGCCAAACGATGCTTACAATCAGATGGTCTCGTTCTGTCATTACGACGTAACGAGATTAAGGGTGGATGCCATCGTCAGCAATGCTTCAGGTAACTTCCAGGCCAATCCTGATCCAGATTCTCTGCATCACGCTATCTATAAAGCCGGCGGTTCAGGTCTCAGAGAAGAGGCGAGATCAAAAGCCAAGGTCAAGGTGGGCCAGGTCGAGCTCACACACGGCCACAATCTTCCAAGCTCATGGGTAATTCATGCAGCTGCACCAGGATATACAGGCCGCAAAGGGGTAGGCCAATTCAACGTTCTTTCCGAGTGCTATCGGAGTGCCATGAGAATGGCGGCTAACTACGAGTTCAAAACGATCGCTTTTCCTTGCCTGGGCACTGGAGGTTGCATGTTCCCTGCACGTGTCGCTGCACGTATAGCGCTGCAAGAGATCAGGGAATACCTGGATTCACATCCTACACATCGACCTGAGCGAATAATCTTCTGCGTACGGGCAGCAGTCGATGAGAAGGCGTATACCGACTTTCTACCGGTATTCTTTCCACCCACACATGGAGACTTGGACAGAGCGAGAACTTCAGACTGGTCCGCGAATCGTGCTGCGCTGGCAGCTCAGGTACTAGAGGCACGTACGCAACTTCAAAATGCATTGACTGTAGTCACTGTTACCTACGACTTCGGCACGCAAAGTACGGTCTGTGCTCACGACATGCGTAGGATCGACTCTACGCTGAGTTCGATCCGCAAATACCTCTTAGGGTCGAAGGAGCTCAAGCGCAGTCTGGGCGACCTCAACTTACTATGCTCCGTCATTCTTACGGCATGCGCTGACATTATGGATATCGCCGAGCGAGCACGTAAACAGGGCCGTGCTGGAAATACGCAGTCTATCTGGACCGAAGCCAACACCGATATACGAGCCAAGCATGGCTTTGAGCTTACGAGTGTCTTTGACTATAGCTGGATCTTCGCCAACAGCTTGGAAGAGGTACTAATACTTGGCAAAGCAGAACCAGATGCGATGGGAAGAGCGCGTCAGATCTTGGAGACCTATGGTGTCAAGCAGAAGGGTCAAGATGCCGAAGGTATCCGCGACCACCTGGATGAGGTGCTGTACGTGCGTGAGGCTGAACGGCCTACCCCCAAAATTCGCGGACTCATCCAAATTCATCAAATACCCCCCGTAGCGAGGCTCTACATACTGGGCCAACTGGAAGCGAAGCCCACCATGGCAAAACCGTCCACGCTATTCAACCACACTGTCTGCTTACTGAGAGAGGACATCACGAGGCTGGAAGTCGACATCGTGGTAAACTCAACCGATCCAAGCTTCTCCGGCATGGGCACTCTAGATCGCAGCATCTTCAAGAAAGGAGGAGACGAATTGCGCTCAGAAGTCTCAACCTTCGGTAAATGTGAAGAAGGCGACGTCAAAGCGACTGCCGGATACCTTCTCCCAGCCAAACATATCCTCCATGTCGTTCCGCCTGGAGTGTTCAGGAGCGATACCAAGAACATCTTGAGGAACATCTACCGGGCAATTCTGCATGATGCCGTACTCATGAGGGCCACTTCCATTGCGATACCGAGTATCGGAACCGGCATGCGGAACTACCCGCGGCGCGACTGCGCGTCGTTGGCGATGGAGGAAGTGAAACGCTTTCTGGAATCCGCTGAGCCGGGGAATGGGCTTGATAAGATCATATTCGTTGTCTTTTCTTCCAATGACGAGTTCGTCTACAAGAGCCTTTTGCCAGTCTACTTTCCGCCAACGAAGGGCAATAATTCGCCTACTATACTGGCGAGACAGCCTGCGCAGGTCGAGGAAAGCTCTTCTTCGGTACTACCGGTTCCCACGAATCAGCCCTCTCTGCCGGTTGCTGGAACGGAGGCCTCCCCCAAGGTGGCCTCTGCCGTCAACTTCGCAATGACGGAACCTATGGGCCAAGCCGCGGCCAGCACCGAGGTCAGATCCGGCAAGCAGCCAGTAAAGTCACGGGCCTGGAATGACGATGAAGCCAAAACTTTGATGGACTTCGAGCTACATGTTGGGACTTGCAAAGCGTGCGAAGGCGGCCTCTACGAGAGAACCCACGAACTCTGCAAGCCCGGCTTTCATTTCGCCGAAGCGGTACTACAGCGAACGGAGATGTCTGAAGATGCACTTGTGTACAGAAAAGCGGACGAGCAGGGCCAAAGGGAGCAACTGGAGATGCCGGTGGAACGATTGCCCAGTTCGATGCTGTTACTCTCCACCGTTGCAAAAAGCGGACGTTATGTCCTTGAGGATACATTCACTCAAGTCAAAAAGCCTGACACTGCGGACTCTGATGCGCCTGTGTCAGAGCACCCTTCGATACCGAACGACCCAGACAATATTGCGCAGGCTACAGAACAACCAGCGGTAGTCCGAGTAGAAGTCCTGTCTCCACACACCGAGACTAGAGGCTGGTTCTACTCATGGGTTCGAGTCTTCAGGAGCAAGATCGAGATGTACTCTGGAGACTATGATCCTGAATCAGGAGATGCTACAGGTCATACTCCGTATGCTTCAGTAGATCTCAAGGATACTATCGCAAACGTGGACGGCCGCAGAGACGACATAGTGTCTTTGTGGACTGCACCGCGAGTACCAGACCGGGGAGAAACATGGAATTTCCGTAGCTCTGAAGCTGATGATTTAATCGCGCTTCTCGAGCTGTTCAAAAGAGCTATCAATCGTGGTAGCCAGGAGCGGGAGAAGAAAGTGTCAGCTGAGGTCGGAGAAGCAGCAACCCCCCAGCCAACAGTTGCCGCGAAGAGAGAACAGGACATTGTCGAAGATCTATCTGCTGATGTCAACAAGCCTGATGCTGCGAAGCTGAACGATCAAGTTCAGCAGTCCTCCAGCGTCATGTCGGGCACATTGACTACTCGCTCTGATGCCTATGTCAACACTAAGGACGAGAAACGCTCGAAATATGACAAGGAGACACATTCTCCCGAAGTCGAAGGTGCGGTTCCGATTGCACCAGATACTGGACCACGTGCGGTAATTCGTGTCAAGGCCAGGGATCCGTACGAACCTCACGACTGGATCGATTCGATTCTATACGTCTACGAGAGCAAGATCATTGTGGAATTCGACAAGACTCATCGACCAGAACAACAATATGCGAAAATAGACCTCCTTGAGGCTAATAATATAGGATTGAGTCGCACTGGTGATGGCGAGGAAAGGGCCTACCAGCCCTACCCGAATATGATATCGTTATATGTGGACAGATTGGGAGAACGGGAAAGAGAACCAAGGGATCCTTGGTTCTTTCGCACCGACAGAAAGCCGGAAGCAGACGCGTTGTTCGACGTGCTTCAACAGGCTGTCGATCGCAATAGCTACATGGGCAAGGGAGCAGCATCAACTGGAGTCAATGCAGTCGACAAGTCTGATCCCATGAGACCCGATGATGCCACTTCGGACAACGCCGGTGCGCTACACTCTTCGAAAGCCGAACGTAATGCAGCAGCTAAGGAGGCACCTGCGGTACTCCACGTCGAAGTGTTCCCTCCACGAACATCTGGAGAGTGGATGAAATCATTTCTGTATGTCTACAAGAACAAGATTGATGTATATCTGGAAGAGCGCAGTAGACACGACAGTCCCTACACGACGATAGATCTCCCAGGCGCAACTCTACGTTTGGATCGCAGCGGTGAACCTGGCTTCAATCATCTGAACGTCATGACTTTACATCTAGAAAGGAGAAACTACAAAGGAATTCCGCTCACCGACATATGGCACTTTCGCATTGCGGAAGAGTCTGATGCAAATGCAGCATGGAATGTCCTCCAACAGGCCGTCAATCGTAACAACCAGGCGCAGAAGGAAACTGGGTTGAACGAGATCGAAGAAGCGACAAGCCCAGGATCAATCATTGCACCGGATGCACATGCCGACGACTCTAGAAGATCTCCTTACTACGAAGATCTGTCCCCTCAATTACATGAACTACTAAGCAACGTCGAAGATCGAAGTCAAGACAAACGTTATGACGTAGCAGGAATCGATACGCAATTCATGACGATCGCAGAAGAGAACTTGGAACTGGAGACACGAATACTCGCTTACCTCAACGAAGATCTCAAGACCCGACCTGGCTCTTACATCGGCCAGCACTTCAGAAACATAGCCGTTGCATTGATGCCCGTCCATCCTGGATACATCTCGAGGACCTTACAAGACCTTGCTGCAAAGGGCAAAATCCACAACACTGTCAATGACGAGACCTGGGTTATCTCGGAGCCAAGCACCGTGCTTCGTACATCAGATCAAGAGAATCAACCAGAGAAACAAAGCGAGACTGGTATAGATGCTCTCGCTGATCAAGTCTTGATATACATGGATCGTGTAGGCGGCAGACCACTGCTACTTCACGTGGTCAAGGAGTTTCAAACTTCTACTGACGCATTATGGCCTGCGATCAGGTACCTAAGAGCCAACGAATTGATCTCTAGTCAGCCTAGCGAACAGCTCTGGATTTTGACCGATAAGGGTAGAACAAGAGTACGCGAGTTACGGTTGCAAGCAGCAAAATCAGGACAAGACATCGCGCAAGTTCCTGGATCGACCCCGGGTGCGAGACCTAGCCCATCTAGCTACTGGTCTATCTCCGAATTAAAGGATTTCGAAATCAATGTTGCAAGCTTTGGCACGGACTGGACAGCAATGGCGAATCACATGGGTACAAAGACACCGACTATGCTCAAGAACAACTACCTACGTCTTGTGGAGATTGGCAACCCAGAATTGGAGCAGTTGGCACAGGAAGCAGATGCTCGAAACGCTCTCGCTTCTCAACGACTTGCTGCGGCGTCTCTCACGTCCATGGAGCAGCCCACGTCAGATGAGGGCAACGCCATTGCTGAAAAGCGCGGTGATTCCAAAGCTCAGCCAGAGACAGATGCCAACCAGGATTATGATCAATCAAATAGCCTAGCCGATCGCGCTTTGTCTTACCTGAGAAGCCTGTCTGGAGTGAGCGAAAACATTTCGGATCTCGCGACTACATTTGATACTCCCGTCGATGAGCTTCAACCAGTACTCAAACAGTTGAGGTCTGATGGGTTGGTTCATAACACGGGGGATAATTCGACTTGGGCTGCGGCAATCTCAACTCGACATTTTCGTCCACGATCGACTCGCATGGATCCCCCATCCCACTCTCCAATCGCAAAGTCAGATGTCTTGCCGCGTTCTGGTGGTGGCTACAACAAATATCCATGCCCGAACTGGCAAAAGCATGGCCATCCTTCAAACTACAACTTTGTTGATAGAAAGGATGAGCTGTGCGCTCATTGCATGAACAGTTGGAGAGACGGCAGGGGCACAAAAGAAAGGAGGCAGACCAGATTCAGCAGGGCAATGACAGATGACATCGAAGAAGACGTAGCATCTGGCACAGCGAGTAGCTTGAGACAAACAAAGATTGCAAGGGAAAGGAAACACAATGCATCGAGCAAGGCAAAGAAGGATGACATTGATGACGAACTGGAGGACTACGATGGACAGGAGGAAGACTTTGTATAATTTGGGTGAGATATTGTAGGAGAGCGCGGCAAAGCCATTCGGAACATTCATGATATCCCCTTCGCTATTGATATGAAGTGCATTCAGGACTAGCAAAGGTAGTTTTGATGTGACGAATCGCCTAGTTCACACTATACGTTCAACGAATGTGTACTTCAACCCCCAGCTTCACTCCTCACAAACGGCAACACCCGCCTCCCCCTCCGCAATAGCCCCCATGAAATCCCCCACATCCTCCCCTCTCTCCCCAAGTACAAACTCCAACGTCGCCACCCACGTCTCCCCATTATTCGTGAACCAATCATACTCTGGACACAAGCCCCTCACGTAGCCCTCCACCATGCCCTTGAGCGGCGCATGTTCCTTCAAGTAAAGTATCTGAGCCGGATCAAGCTTCATATAGTCCTCGATGACGTAGTAATGCGGGATATCGTCGCCCCAGCCTTCAGCACCGACTTCATGGGAGGGGTGGAGCGAGTATTTGGATGCGGCGTAGCGGGAGGTGTAAGTGGGTGTGTTGTTGAAGTGGGTCGAGAGAGGGTTTGGCGTGAACGGATTGAAAGCTTGGGGCGCGGTGGGTGGATAGTTGAGGTGGATGTTGAAGAGCAGGGAGTGCTCGTTGCCCGGGTGTCGTTTCTTGAACTTTCGGGCGATGGTGCCGTTGGAAGGGCAGACGTTGCTTTGGACGACTTCGCGGATGACGGCATGCACGTCGGCGATCTCGGCGAGTTCCCAGGTGCTCCAGTTGTGGAGGAGGGCTGCGCGCTTGAGTAGGACGAGGCGGGACGCGCGGGCTTCGCGTGGGTGATCGCTGTTGTGGAAGGCGCGGGAGTAGAGCCAGATCCTATAGATGGCTCGTCTCACGAGATAGCGCTCGTCTGTTGTCAAGAGACGCCGGCTTTCGAAGTTGTGCTTCCACTTCTTGAACGGGTAGATGTCGCACCATTTCTCAGCCGTGCGCCCATGCTGCACAATCTGCTTGAGCAGTGCGAGAGAGAAGGGAACGGAGCGAACGATGTGTGCAGGTTGGCTTTTGTTGTGGGTGAGGAGTTGAGTGAGGTCTTCTAGCGGACCGAACTGCGTTTCGGCGGCCTTTTCGAGTATGGGTAGTTTCTGGGAGGAAGAATAGATGTTGCGGAAACGACGGCAGGTGGCAGATAGAGCTGTAACGTCGTTGACTGAACGGCATGATAGGAACACCTGCACAGCAAGCTCCGTCGCGAGATCTTCGAACAGCATCTTGAAGGTGGTTGTAGGGTAGGGGGGCGATTTGGTGGCTAGATCTCCAGTCAGTAATGAATTGATATGATAGAAGACATACAGCACGATATGTATGATGGAACTCACCTGTGATCTTTCAAGTTTACGCGTGTCTTCAGTCCGCGTTAGATGCTGAACTGTCTTTCGTGATAGTGATGCGAAATTCGATTCAATCTCGTCCTCCTTTCACTATTCTTCGACCTCAGTTTCGTATATCGATCTATCGATCTAATCGGTGCGTAGCTATCTCGCCTCTACACCGACACGTATCGCGTGGTTCAAACAAATCGGACCCCTCCGTTGGGGCTATAGGTAGAAAACGCGACGACATCCTGGAAAGACATGGTGCAAGTCAATGCAAGCTCTGGCGAGCTGTCTCTGGAATGTAAGGTCATCGTTAGTGATTGGGGAGAGGGAAAGGAGTCATCAGTCGTGACGACCGTGGACGTGATGGATGCCGCCAAGGGGGGCTAACCCGGATTGTGGGGGCCAATCGGCGTGGAGACGGGAGAGCACCGATGGCGTCAATGAGCAGCGCCAGGCATGCCGCACGAAGATGCGCCTGTCTTCACAACATGCCATTGCAAGTCCAATGCCACAGTATAACGAGCGCACAATGCAGCACTCCACAGACACCGCATCCTCCCAGCTATCCCCGCTCCTCCGCCTCCCAATCGAGCTCCGCCGCCTAATCTACAGCCACGTCCTCCCCCACACCACCACCTTCGAAGTGCGTTTCCAGCACCCTCCCGACCCACCCCCAAAGTCCGAATACAATCTGACCTTTGTGCGGCAGAAGAACGGCGACGGGGGCTGGCGCATGCAACGTACACTACCACGCACAGAGCGCGAAACAGGCAACGACACAGTCTGGCGGCGCGGGCACACGAGTCTCCTCGCCGTGTCGCGACACGTCCACGAAGAAACTGCAGACATGCTATATGGAGACAATACCTTTGTGATTGACGTGACGTTCGACGCGATCAATTTTCGGTATCGATGGCGCACGGCGAATAATCTTACGCCGAACCGGACGTATCCGTTCTTGGATCACTTCTCGCAGAGGAATCTGCTGCGGATTAGGAATTATGTTGTTAATGTTGAGTCTGTGGATGATTACACGGGGATGATAAAGTATAATTGCGGGGGCAGAGGTTTGCCGGCTGGCATAAAGAGCAAAGTACGGGAACTGGTTGATCTGTTGGCTGTGGCGCCACAGTTATATCGGCTGCAGGTGCATCTTATAGATGGCGCGATTAGTCGCGTGAGGTTTCCTAGTGGACGGGTACATCGTGTGCAGGACGAGAGTAACTATGCGCAGACACAGCTAGTGCTTGATCCTTTTAGGGCTGTATATGGAGTCAGACAGGCGGTTGTTAGTGGTGTTGATGATGAGTATAAAGAAGTCTTGGAGAAGAGCATGACTGCTGACAGGACACACTGATATCGCCAAAGGATAAAGAGTACTTGGGTTAACGGTCGCTCGCAATGAGCTACCCATTAAACGATAGCTTTTGGGTATATCGCTATACATACATACGGGCCTATGCCCAGCCCAGAATCGACGCCAATCTAAATAAGACGATGCATTCCATAAACGCCATTTTTCCTTCCCTCGAAACATGGCAAACAATTTTACGCGAACAGCACATTGTCGCTGAGCGGGTCCTTCTCTTTCCTGACTCCACCGTGCGATGTCAATCCCAGATCCTGGTGCTTGAGCAGGGTATCCCTCTGGGCGTCGGTCCTCTTGTTGAACCTGCCGGCCTTTGATTTCCTCAAGTCGGAACGGATCTGGTTGGGCGAGACGAACTCCTTGTTTTCGTAGATGATTGGACCTCCAAAGCTAGACTCCTGGATAACGATGGGAGTGAGGACGAAACGGGGACCGATCTCGACTAGGTTGACATCGAATTCGCTTCCCTTCTTCTTCTTGGGTGCCTCGTCAACGTCCATCTCCTCGCCATCGGCAGGCTTCTTCTTGCTGGTCTCGCTCTCGTTGATTTGGAACACGCGGATCCAGATCTTGCCGTCTGCGACTGTGAAACCCATCACGTGGTCTACGAAAGGCTTGACCTTTCGGCTCGTCTTGGGGACGCCGAAAATCTGGGTGAAGAGCTCCTTGATCACGCGAAGATGAGCCTGCTTGTCGAAGGCGGCGTCGAAGGAGAGAACTGGTCGCGATCCTTTCAGGCAGTTGCCAATGAAGTTGAGCTCTTCCATGGTGTGCAAGTTTTGCAGGTGCATCTTTACAGTAGGACCGTTTGGTGGCTTGGACATCCAGCAGTAAAGGTCCTTGCCCTTGCGAGCTTCGAAGAAGAGGACATTGTTGCAGTTGTAGAGTTCTGCTAGTTCGTTGAGTTGGTAAAGCTTCGTCTTGGTGTCAAGTTTGGCTTCTTTCCGGCTATGGGGCCTTTGAAAAGATCAGTAAATGAAGTTCTCTGATCGCGGAAACCACTCACATCAACGAGTACAAGTCCTGTAGCAAATGTCGGTGACGGAAAGTAACACCTCTTGAACTCTAGCAATCATCAGCATGGGTCTTGGTTTGCGCCGCGCGTGGATTCGTACCAGAATAAGGACACGCTGCTTGTTTCTCTGCACGCCCGTTTCCTTCTCCTCTTTCTCCGCGCCGGACAGGGTCTTGTATACGGAAGCCATGGTGATTTCAGGCGGTTGTTGCTGCGCTCGTCGGGGTGGATGCGCCTCTGCAAAAAAGTTCGAGAATTGATGCCGCCCAGAGTTTTAGCGCGATCTACGCTCGGGCCGCGCTACGACTGAAGGAGCTAGAGCGGATGGAGTCTTCGCGGCATGGTCGCGCCTTCCGTCACCGTCGTGGTGAGGCTTCATCCAATGGGCGTTTGCAGCCCCAACATTCTGCCCTGTTCGCTTTTGTGCCTGCGTGTTGTCATTGTCGCGTGCACGAGAGACTCAATGGAGATGGCAGTATATACAGAGTCAGCCATCGGATGGCGAGGAAATGAGATGCGCACGTCCGCCGTGGTCCAGAGGCTCGTGGTAGATTAGCCGAAGCTGGCAACGCCTCAACCCGGCACGCGGAGCAGCGACGAGCTGTAGGTGCTGAGAAGGGAAATAAGAAATGCTCAGGCGGCGGCAGCGAGTAGCAGCAGAGTGCCGGAATCGAGGACACTCAGGCAGACCGGCACAGACGAGAAGCGGCTGCACGCTGCATGGCGCCGTTTGCATGCACGCAATTATTGGTCGATGCACCCATCTGGGCGTGTATGCTCCTACGAGAGATGGGGTTCAGGTGCTTTGTTAAGAGGCACGCCCAGCAGCGCAGCAGCGTCGCAATGAAGGTCCCCACGCGTAATGCGGCCATGCCAGACATGCTCGACGCAGTCCGCAGCCCGCCGTGTCACATGTTGCGAGCGTGTAGGGCGTCGCAGGCTCTCCATCAAACCTCATCGCGGCTCTGCATCACGCCCGGAGCTGCTCCAGGACAGAGTTGCCGCAGCCGCACTAAGCAGAAGCTGACTTGCCAACCGTTCGTGTGTGATCTAGACGGCGCTCAAGCAGCTCCACACCAGCCCCCATCCCATCTTCCCTCTTCCATCTCGTCGTCGTCGCATCCACATCGCCAACTGCCCGACGACCATCGCCGGCAGCCCTCGCCCACGGCGCATTCCCTCTGCTGTCGTCGCCGCGCTCCCTGCGCGCCCCACCGCCAGTGCCTGCTGCGTGCGGCCCATGGAGCAGCCTTTCCGCTGTTAACAAGC